TCTCAAAGTTAAAGTCTTTATGTGGACATTTGGGCTTTACAGTGGGTATCACTGCCTTCTTATGGGACTACTGTTGGTAGGGGTGAAATCGGTTCGGTTCGGTTCGGTCGCTTTTTTCACTAGTTTTGCACCGAACCAATCATTTCAATTTTTCATATTTGTGAACCGAACCGCCCAGAAAAATGACATAAACTGGTGCGGTTCGGTTTATTACGGTGCGGTGCGGTTTTTTCGGTTTTTCGGTTTTTTGGCCTTTTTTTCCCCTAGTTGGGCCTCACATTTTGGGCCTATATTTCTATCAATTTTGCATAAAATTTAAGCTCAGGCCATGTAATTCCTACATAGGTTTGGGGCCTCACATTTTGGGCCTATTAATATTATATAAGTCGGTTCGGTTCGGTTCGGTTCAAAAAACCAAAAAACGTAAACCGAACCGAATGTACAGAAAAACATAAACCGAACCGAACCAAACCGAATGATTGAAAACTTAAAACACCGACCGAAAACCGTTCGGTCCGGTCGGTTCGGTCGGTTCGGTCGGTCCTTCCGGTTATTCTTTCACCCCTAACTGTTGGTGTCATGTTTTAAAGCCACATCAGTTTCCGACAGCATCTTGACCATAAATATTGGCAAAGTGGAAAAGGAAAAACCTTTCAGATGGGAGCAATCTTACACTTCTTAAGAGTACTCTAGTGAGCTTACCCATTTGTTTTATGTCTAATTTACCATCCCAATGCCAATGGCAAATAGAATCGAAGAACTTCCAAGGAATTTCCTATAAGAAGCCGCAAATTATGAATTTAAATATTATTTATTTGGATAGGTTAAGGTGTGCCGTCCAATTGTTGGAAAAGGTTTGGGATTCATCACATAGGAACTTTTAATCAGTCTTTGTTGGGTAAATGGCTTTGGAGATATGCTTTTAGAAAGGTGGCTCGCAAGTTTTTTCTTGATAAGATAATTGATAATCCAAATGTCTCCCCTTTTCATTGTCATTTAAGGATTTGGAAAGTGATCGTGCTCTCAAAGTTACAGTATTTATGTGGACATTGGCCCATAATAGTCTCATAACTAATGACAGTTTTCATAAGAGGAGACCCAATTGCAATCTTTGTCGCCAATTATGTGTAAAGCAGATGATGAATTTTTGGATAATTTATTTTTGCATTGCCTATTGGCTTCATCTTTATGGCATTGGCCTTTTTAAATGGTGAGATTTGTTGGCAGCTCCAGTATTGTGTTCCCAAATGCTTTTGATCAATTTCTGGGGTTATGGGAGCAACGATAAAGCATTATTTTTGTGGGATTGTGTTTTTATGCAATTTTTTTGGGTTATTTGGTTGGGAGCCTAATGCTAGGATCTTTAAGGATTCGTTTGAAGAGGTGGATTCTTTATGGGTAAAGTCTGTTACCTGACATCTTTTTAAGTTTCAGTGTCCAACCCTCTAGAGGAATTCCACCTTCATCTTTAGAGATATGAGGGCAGTGTGCGATCTGTAGTGTGAGATTTTGGTTGTTCTTTGTTTTTCCTTGTCCTTTCTTGGAGGACTCCTTGTTCTCTTGTACCTTTTCGTTTTTTTCTTTTTTTTTTTATAGATTCTCTTTTTTTGCTAATCAAAAAAAGGGAAGTGGCCTGTGGAGAAGACTAATGACATGCAAATGTGGGGCATGGGAGAGGGGAGGGGGATTGGACAACCAAGGAGGTAAGAAATCCACACATCACAGATTTGTGGAAAAAGATCAAGAATGGTTGGGATGACTTCATTCCCCACGTGAAGTTCATCATTGACATTGGTAAAGAGGCAAGGGTTTGGAAGGATATGTGGTGCAAAGACATCCCTTTTTAGTCACTTTTCCGTACTTGCATAATATAGCAGGGAACAGGAAGGTCTGGGTCTTGGACTATTTGAGAATCTTGGACGATGGCATGGTGTGGGAACTTCGCTTTAACACAGTAGTAAAAAATTGGGAGCTGGAGATGGTGGAAGATTTTTTTTTAGGCTCTACAAGGTACCTAGCCGTAGACAAGGGAAGATAGACTGATGTGGAAATCCTATGATAGAAGTTTTTTGTTAAATCTTTCCATCACCTTCCTCTTGGTGACATTGGAGCTTGCTTTCCATAGAAGAACATTTAGATACAAGGGGTCCCAATGCAAGTGTCCTTTGTGCAGCCTGAAGTTTTGGAGGCTATTCTAACCATTGATAATTTGGAAAAAAGGGGAAAGATACTTCCCAACCAGTGTTGTATGTGTAATAAAGCAGAAGAACTGGTGAACCACCTCCTTTTACACTGCGAGGTGGTTTATGAGCTTTGGAGCATGAGTTAAGTGGTTTATCTTTTTATGAGAGTTGGTATGGGAGTTGTCATTCTAAAGGGTCCAAAAGGCCTAGAAGGTTGCTCTACTTTTCTTGAAGTGGTGCTTGTGGAGGGGGCAAAATAAAACTTCTGAGAAAGCAGAATTGGGAATTCACAGAATCAAGGAGACTTTTACATTACTTCCATTTAGGATGGAAGGAAAATCTTGGATTCTTCTTTTGCCTTTATTATGTTCTTTTTGTTCTCTCTTTTATATTCTCTAGGAGCCTGTTTGGTTAGCAGGATTAATAGTGAGGGGATTAACAATCCATGATATTAGTGTAGGATTGGTTATATAATTCCAATTATATGTATATCTTGCGTTATTAGTTGTAGGATTAAACAATGGGTCAATTTTGTTGAATAAAATGGCCATTGGAATCTAGTCCGAATAATAAAATTTGCAATCAAACAATAGAATGTGAGTCCCGTGGATTAATAATCCCAATCCTATGCTATCATCCGCTCAATCAAACAAGCACTAGAGGTATAAAGGTTTCGCTCCTTTTGGTATTTTTAATACAATCATTATTCAAAAAAAAATCTAACATTTCACTAAAACAACAAATTAAAGACATTTGAACATAAATAAATTTTTAATTCAATTATCATTGATGTAGCTAACAGCAAAAGTTGAAATGATTCTTCAAATTTATCCTCTTAATTTTATTTTTTATTTTTTTCTGGGGTCTTGTAAAGTTGGCATCATTTTCCCGCAGTTGGGGAAAACTTGTTTTTAAGTGCCAAAATAGTAAAGCACTAATATTTTGCAAGTGCACCATATAGTGATAATTCAACTGCCTCATCATCCTTGCTGGAGGCAAGAAAATTTAATATTTGAGCATCTTTTCTGTAACATCTTTTCTGTAACACAACACACCATCGAACTTGTATACAATGATTTTCTTTTTGTTTTTATTTTTTTGTCAAAGTAATATTCTTTTAGGAAAGACATCCTTAGATTCATCAAGAATTTGAACAATAGTAGTTTGCTTGGATCTCTTTTGGCTCTTGTTTCATGCAGTGTCTTCTTTTGGCGTTATTCTATTTGCACACCACACTTTGTCTTAGTACACACCACTTGTACCATTTGGATATCAACTTCCGAACAAAATACAAATGTTTGGATATCTACTTCCGAACAAAATACAAATGTTAGGATATCTACTATTGAACAAGATTTTTGTTCAAACCATTGGTTTTTGTTCAAAACTTGATATTCGAATATTTTGTTTGTTCAAAAGTCGATATCCAAACAACACAAATGGTGTGTACCGAGATAAAGTAAGGTGTGTGAATAGAATTACCCCTTCTTTTGTCATATTGTTTTTTTTTTTCAGAAGAAGTTTATACTTCATAGTGGGTTCTCCTTTAATATCCTTATTGTTCATTAGATTGACTTGATCTATATTTTATTTGTTCTTTAATTTTTTCTAAGCATGAGCTCAAAGAACCCTGATTCTTAGCTTGAGGCAATTTTCGTGATTGAGCTTTTGTTAGAGAATTAGAACTAGAAGTTGCGGCAAAAAATGGCTATAAAGATGCATTTTTTTCCCTTTCATTCTTTAAAAAAGTCAATCAATCATATCATTTATGCATAGGACAAGCTGAGCTATCTCTATGCCACTTTCATTCTATACATGTAAAATCTTCCATGATGTGAAAACATTGTGGTGAAACCTAAAGCTCTGATACCCAGCTGATGTTGTGGAAAGATCTAATATATCCAAATGACAAACAATCAAATGAAAGAGAAGAGAGTAGAAGAAAGGTAGAGATTTAAGCTCTCATCTCACTAGAGCAAGAAGAAAGACTGTTCTTGGTTTAGATTCTAGTGGATTTACACCAGAGCGTATGTGGCATCTCACCCAACAAAAACACTAAAGGCTACAATAAATCTTTTACCAAATCATCCATTTATTTCCCCAAATAAGAAGTTATAGCTCTAATATATAGAAAGACCAAAAGAAATTACTTCACTACCAAGTATTTCAAAGCTAAAGAACTTGAGGAGATTACTAGTAGGTTCAGGTTGGTTGCTGACAAGTAGCATTCCAGTGGGTAGCTCACAAGTACAGACAACTTGTAAACAACCAATTGATAACTATTAAAGCAAGTGACAAGAAGTCAACAATTATCCCAGTCATGGAGGTTCTTCAAGCCTAATTAAACTTTGTTTATCAAAATATTCTAGACTAAAATAATAATCAATAAATAAATAAAATACTGTTTTCGCCTAAATATAGCAACTTCACTTTAAAACAACAAATTAAAGACTCCTAAAACATCATAATTTTTATTCAATGGAGTTTTCAAGCTGCTGCTGTACAAAAGTTAATTGGATTCTCCAAATCTCTCTGTCCTTTTGTTAAATTTTTTTTTTATTTTCTTCATTGTTAGGTCTTCAATGCTGAGCATTAGATATGCACTAAGTAGGCAATAATGAAATGCATTGTATGAATAAACATTGGCTAAAAACAAAATAATGTTTGATTAAAAGAATTGAGTCTCTTTCCTTCTTGCTTTTTAATAAAATTCTTTGTTGATGCTCAAAAAAAAGATTAAAAGAATTGAGTGATTTGATTCCAGAAACATTACCACCGAACCCCAGAAAATGTATTTAGGAAAGAGAGGAAAGTCACCTTGAACAAACAAAGACAGGGCAGAACTAAGAGGGGCATTTGGTCTCAGCATTGCAAATGACTGTCCATTAGATTCCCCAATTTTCGGAACCCATGTACCCAGAGGAAGCAAACAAATTGGTTGTTGAAGGATAGGCAAAGAGCTAGAAGAATGTCTAAAATGCCTGCAAATACCTGAAAAGCAGGTCCACATGTTAGTAACAAATCACATGCCCTCAACCAGCACACCAGGATAAAAAAGAACAAAAAAAAAAAAACAGAAGCTTACATTTCAGAATCTCAGAGAGGGAAGCCAGATGTAATAGCTGTGGAAATGAACCATCCTGTGAAGAAGAATGGATAATGGGAACTGTAGCCACCTTCTTTTGCAAAATTTTTAAAGCAACATCTTTTAGAGAATCATAAGGTCCAGCCTGTATTACGGTAGTAATAAATATTAGAACAGAAATAGATCCAAAACATTTTAGACAAGGGTACTTGGATTCAAAGGAAACCCAAGGTTCTTCACTATAAACGACAAATAAAATTCAAATAAACATCTTTACACAATCTTTAAACATCTTTTCAAGAATATTATGCTCCAATGCAAAAAATGAACCAAACCCTAGCAATATACCTCATGTTGTCATTACCCACAACACATGTACTACCCTTCCCTCATTACGCAGAAAATGGTAGAGAAATCAACCATTTCCATGCCGCAGAAGGATGGCACATCAATACAAGAATCACTTACATGTATAAGACATCTTGGATATGATCTGCCACTGCTATCGACTTGTCTGTTAAGATGTGATTTTCCCTCTTTCCAAGCTGATATGGAATGAGTGTCAAGCTCTTCCTCCGTCAAATTTGATCCATGATTGCCAAGCTGGAATTTAAAAAATTAGACAGCATTAGCTATGAGATGTGCAAACGGACTTCAGGAAAAACATAGATGTAACAGCTCATGTAAGCAAACATTAAATAGCAGACAACAGAAATAGCATGAGGTTTGCAACAAAAAATTTCACTCTGAAGCTTATATAATTGAGATTTTCAACAAAAATGTTGGGGAAAATTACTCTTCAAAAAGAGAAGATAAACTTTAGGAATCATATCCACACAAAAAATGCACAATGATATCCTACAAATGAAAGGAACAAGTCCTACACAACTAAATCTTGTCATCATATAAGATTTTGTTTAGGGTTGCAACTAACATGGTTTGCCAAATGTTTAAATCAAGGTTCAACAACTGTGAAGCATGGATATGAGTATGGATGTGCTATGGGTAAGCCGATAAGATAGAATCCAAAAAAAAAAAGAGGCTAAACTACACTCACCTCCTGTGAGGTTTGAAAAAAATACAGTTAGCCTCACTTTTGACATAATTACATTGACATCCATTTTAGTAAGGCTAACGTGACTGAAACCAATGCACATGGTTGGTAGGCACTGAAATAAACAAAGATAAATGTACATTTTAGTAGAAAAGAGATTGACAACATCATTTTTACATTCACACAACTAACGAAATATTGATGAAAAACGGCCTAATTGTTATGTGAATTAAAACTTCAAAGGAGATTAGTGTAATTATATCAAAAGTGTGGGGCTAACTGTATTTTTCCCAAACCTCGTGGGAGGCGAGTGTATTTTACCCAAACAAGAAAAAAGAAAAAGAATACACGTATGGGTGTAGTATGTCCATAAAAAAATATATATACTATAGTAATTTGAGTATTGCATGATATATAACAATTAAAAAACAATGCAAAAAGTAGTTAAAGCAAGATAAAAATTAAAGTTTAACACCAAAATTAGTAAGGATCCAACACACACAATCCAGAGTTTGATGCCAAAATAAAGGTACATTGAACCAGTTTAATGCCATTACATTAGAATATATGGAATCTTCTATTTACAACACGAATTCAACTCTTTACACCCACTTTCCCATTGCACCCATTGAAAAAATTTAAAATTTTAATTTTATCTCTTTACACCCTACATAATTCTTAACACATCTCCATCCCTATCATCACACCTTTTCTTTACACCCACCTACTTCCTCTCTCCTTTCCCCTCTCTCTTTTCCATCTTTTCCACCACCACAGATGAGGATGAAAGTGGGTGGAGGAACGAACTGATAGGTGGTTGGCATGGTGGTGGTGTGGAAAACCACACTTTCTGAGATTTCATTTTTTTTATTTTTGTTTTTGCATTCAAGCTTTTGTAAACGGGCCAAACTTGATGAAATTAGTCACATTCAACCTTAGTTGTCCAAACAACAATATGATGTTTGGCTATTCAACGAATCAGAGCCCAACGGAGTTTCAACTCCATTTTTTTCCAAACAATACTAAACTACATCAAAATAACAGAAAAGCACCCAAACATCTCTTAAACAACATAATCTTGTATAAAATCTATTCACAATTATTATATATATTTTTAATTATGATTTTTTATATTCTTTTTTTCTTGTTGTTTGTTGCTATTTTTCTTCTTTATGTCTTATGGTGGAGGTGTTGCAGGTTGCAGAGAGGTGGAGGGAATAACAGAAGGGGTAGAGGGTGTAATGAGTTAAATTTGTAGTATACACGCACCTCAAAATAATGGAGATTCAATCTACCCCTCCCACAACCCTAAATTGGGTGTAATTCTTTTTAATCTAGTCGTGATAAGAGCATCCCAAGTTCTCTACGATCCATATATTGGAATCCATTTATTTGTTTTATTAAAAAATAGACGCAATATATATTTATTATGGTACCTTAATAGTTTCTTAAGAAAATGCATTTAAGCGTACCCACATAAGTAGCCGGTGCATACCCAAGACATACTTGAGCCATATCCAATAATCAATTTTTATTTTTTTTAAAAATTTGGTTAGATATTTTGTGTATCCAAAACACACGTACCCGCGCCAAATGCATACTCGGTACATGCACGACATCATTTTTGGAGTACCCATACTTCATACGTTAGCAATGAAACTAGAGCTATAGATGCACATCTAGAAAGAAAAAAATGAAACCACTGAAGACCAAAGAAATTAAACTTTGTCTTGTAAAAGTTTTTCATACTTTCTTGTTTCTTTATTTTTTTTTTTTATTGATGTATGTTGTTGATCCTCGTGGGGGGTGGTAAAAGAAATAGAGGAATGCCAAGGAGAACTTGAAATGACATGATTATCTTTAACTTAATAAACGATAAAACAACAAATAGAATCAATTGGAAGAAATGAATCCATGCAGCCATGTTTAGTAATGATGCGTTCCATTCTCTGTCATTTGAAGAGAGGGTCTGTGAAAATATATGTATATATGGCATACTTGTGTATATTAGGAATTAGACAAATTAGGCAAGATTGTGGTAGTGTAAATAGGAATGTATTTCCTTTTTCAATCGTAGATTTAGGACTACATAAACTGATGAATTGTTTGTAAATAACACAAGTTGAATATACGAGTTTATTCAGAAACTTACATGGTATCAGAGCAACACGATTGTTGATCTCGTGGTGGCTAGGGTTTCGCACAATCTGGTCTCTCCGTCTGGCTCTTCATCTCGCTTGTCGTCACCGACTCCCGTCTCTCTCTCGTTTTTGGCTCACGACGTTTCTCTCTCTGACGGGAAGGTCTGTTGCTTACGACCTCTGCCTCTTCTGGTTCGCTAGGTTCACGAAGGCCTCTCTCTCTCTCGAACCTCTGTCTGACGCGAAGGTCGTTTTTGGTTTGTGTTTGGTTTGGTTTGTCGCTCGACCTCGAAGCTCTTCCTCAATCTCTGTTCTCTGCCCTAGCTTGACTTCTGATTCACATAGCATTGAACTGTTAGGTTATTCTTGGTTTATTACAGTTTGACCTTTCAGTTTTCTAGTTATTAGACTTGAACTTTTGGTTTGACTATTTTGCTCTATTTTGGGTTATTACACTTGAACTCCTCAGTTTTCTGGTTATTATTATGATGTCTCTGGCCTCGGATGAGTGTGCCTTCTGTCATCAGAGGGGGCCATTGGAAGTATCACTGTCCCAAGAAGGGATGCTTGTCTAGCTCGTCTTCTTAGCAGTCTCGGACCCAGTTTTGCCCTTATTCTCCGAGTAATTTTTAGGCTCCTGCCAGTTCTACTGCATCTGCTCTAGCTCCTGATCCTGACTTGGCTTCCTTGAGTGCTCAGATTAGTCAACTTCAGCATACACTGTCTACCTCCCAGCCATTCCCGACTACCTCCATTGTTTCCTCTCTTCATTCAGGTTTGCTTGGGACTTCTTCAGGTATCTCTTCGTCTGTCTAGATTTTTTACTCAGGTGCCTCTCATCATATGACTCCCCATCTCTTCTTACTTCAAAATTGTACTCCCCTACCCTTTTCTATTACTGTTAATGCTGCTAATGGATCTGATATGTCTGTTATATCTGTTGAGTCTGTCTTACCGTCTGCTATGTCTGTTGTCTCTATTCCATCTGTCTTCTATGTTTCTCAATTATCTATCAGTTTATTATCTATCAGTCAGCTTGATGCCTTCAGTTTTGATGTTATCTTTTCTTCTTCTATCTGTTCTGTGCAGAATCGGATGTCCAAGCAGCAGATTAGAACTGGCCGCAAAGTTGGAGACCTCTATGTAGTAGAGAGCTTGCATCTGCCCATGACCACCTCTCAAACTACTTTTTCTTCTTTTCAGTTAGATTTCCTGTCCAATCCTTTCTACTTGTGGCATTCTAGATTAGGGCATTTGTCTACTGACTGCTTACGGTCTTTAGCTCAGTCAAGTATATTGGGTAAAGCTTCTCCTAATGAACTTACAGAATGTCGGGGGTGTAAATTTGCCAAAATGACAGCTTTACCTTTTCATAAAAGTACTTCTATATCTGATACACTGTTTTCTTTAGTTCATAGTGATGTTTGGGATCCTTTTCCTGTTCTCACCAAAAGGAGTTCTGCATATTATGTGTCATTTGTTGATGACTGTACCCGTTACACTTGGGTTTATCTTATGACTCATAAGTCTGATTTCTATCAAATATACCATACCTTTCGGTCTATGATTACTACTCATTTTGGGTCTATAATTAATGTGTTACGATCTTACTTGGGTGGAAAATATTTTAAAAATGAGTTCTATGAGTATTTGGCCAATTTGGGTACCATTCACCAAACTTCCTGTACAGATACACCTGCCTAAAATGGTTGAGCCGAGCATAAACACCATTATCTCCTTGAAATAGCTAGGTCTCTTCTTCTCTGTCTCAGTTCCAGCTCCATTCTGAGGGGAGGCAGTTCTTACTGCTACTTTTCTTCTCAACCGTATGCCTACTCCCCTTCTTTATGGTCGGTCTCTTTATGAGACTTTGTTCTCCCAAATTCCTAACTACTCCCTCCTTCGTGTGTTTGGGTCTGCCTGTTTTGTCCTTCTTCCCCGTAAAGATAGGACCCAACTTAGTGCCCGATCTGTCATCTGAGTCTTTTTAGGTTATAGTCCTACTCAGAAAGGCTATTTGTGTTACGACCCTGTTTCCCGTCGTCTTTATGTCTCCCATCATGTTTCTTTTCTCGAACGCCTACCTTACTTTCAGCTTCCTCCTCTCACCACCCCAGTTTTCAAAGAGAATTTGGTTCATATTGATCCATTTCCTTTTGAGGTCCTGTCTAATGAGTACATCTCCATAGTTCCTCCTGAGCTTGTTCCATCTTCTCCTCTTGCTTCACCTCTGGCTGCTTCTTCTCTTTCGGTTTCTTCTCCTCATCCGTTGTTAGTTTATTCTCGTCGTAAGGCTCCTCCTCCACCGGTTGTCTCTACCCCTGCTGCTGATCCTCCTGCTTCTAACGACTCTGATTTTGCTGCACACCGATATCCTTCTCGAGCGCGTCATTCTCCAAACAAATTGGGTTGGTTTAATACATATTTTTCTACTTCCTATCGTACCTTTTTGTCTATTATTCACTCTTTTTCAGAACCTCAATCTTACAAGGAGGCCTGTCAAGATCTTCATTGGGTTCAAGCTATATAGGATGAGTTGTCTGTTTTACAGAAAACCAGTACTTGGAAGTTGATTCCTTTGCCTACTGGTAAGAATCTAATTGATTGCAAATGGGTCTACAAAGTCAAGCCTCATTATGAAAGTTCTCTTGAGCGCTACAAAGCTCATCTGGTAGCCAAAGGTTTCTCACAGGAGTATGGTATTGATTATGAGACATTTGCCCTTGTTGCCAAAATGACTATTGTCCGTACCTTGATTTCTATTGCTGTTGTTCGACATTGGCTTCTCTATCCGATGGACGTTAAAAATGCTTTTTTTAACGGTCATCTCACTGAGGAGGTCTACATGCGTCCCCCCCTGATCTTCTCCACTCTTCTAGACAGGTTTGCCATCTTCGACGTGCTCTGTATGGTTTGAAGCAGTCTCCTCATGCTTGGTATGATCACTTTCAAACTGCTGTTACTGAGCTTGGATTTTATCCTTTTGCTTCCGACTCTACTTTGTTTCTAAAACATACCTCAACTGGTTTTGTTACTCTCCTACTCTATGTGAATGATATGATCATCACTGGCTTTGACTCTTCTGCTATCTCTGAGGTCAAGCAACATCTCTTCCGCACCTTCGAAATGAAGGATTTGGGTCCATTGTGGTATTTTCTTGGTATTAAGGTTGCCTCTTCTCCAAAGGGCTATTTTTTAGCTCAAGCCAAGTATGCTAATAAGGTTATTCACCGTGCCAGTCTTACTGATACTAAGGTTTCTGATACACCTATTGAGCTTAATATGAACTTAACTCTACTGATAGTGTCCCTTTGGATGATCCCACTTCCTATCGCGAGCTTGTGGGTTGTTTAGTTCATTTGACTATCACTCGTCCTAATCTTGCTTATCCCACTACCTATTGGGCTGCTTTGGTTCGCATTCTTCGCTATCTTAGGGTTACCATATTTCAAGACTTACTGTTGTCCTCTACTTCCCCTTTAGATTTGGTGGCCTATGCTGATTCCTATGAAGCACAGGTACGGGTACGAGTACGGTACGGGTACGAGTGCGGGTACGTCGATACGTCAAAATTTAAAAAAACCGGAACGTACCCATGGCGTACCCCCTCCGCACCCATGCCGTACCCAAATGTACCAGACGTACCAGACCCCTTTTGGCCGTACCCGGTACGCGTGCAGCCGTACCGGTACGCGTACCCGTACCAGGTACGTACCCGGTACTTGTACGGCAACATTTTAGGAGTACCGGTGCTTCATAGGCTGATTCTGATTGGGCTGGTGATGTTAATGATCGCAAGTCCACCTCTGGTTTCTATATGTTTCTTGGCGATTCTTTGATCTCTTAGAAAAGCAAGAAACAAACTGTTGTTGCTCATTCTACTGTTGAAGCTGAGTACCGTGCTATGGCTCATGCTACTGTTGAGCTTGTTTGGCTTTGTTATCTTCTCTCTGATTTGGGTGTACCTCAGTATTCTCCAACCTCTCTCAATTGTGACAACCGCAATGCTATTCAGATTACTCACAATACTGTCTACCATGAACGGACCAAACACATTGAGATTGATTGTCACTTTGTCCGCCAGCATCTGCGGTCTAGCTCTATCTTACTTCCTTTCGTCTTCTCGGCTTTGCAATTGGCGGACTTCTTCACCAAGACTCACACTACCGCTCGGTTTCAATTTCTTCTTAGCAAACTCTCCATATTTTCTGCTAAAACACCTTGAGTTTAAGTGAGGGTGTGAGAATATATGTATATATGGCATACTTGTGTATATTAGAAATTAAGCAAATTAGGCAAGATTGTGGTGGTGTAAATAGGAATGTATTTCCTTTTTCAATCGTAGATTTAGGGCTATATAAACTGATGAACTGTTTGTAAATAATACAAGTTGAATATACAAGTTTATTCAGAAACTTACAGGGTCCTCTTGAAACTAGTGTTTCTTACCATTTTTACCTATCAAACAGAGCTTGTGGTCGGTACAATCTAAGGAAATATAGAAACAACTAGTAGAATATACAAAACATGGAAGTGCTAATGTAAATGCAAAACTAAGGGGTTGTTTGCGATGTTCTAAATAAGTGCTCTTTTTGACTTTTTATGAAATATGGGTTGGATTTGAAGTGATGTGGCAGAGAGGTGATGTGACTTAAATAGGATAGTGACTTTTTGACTTTTTAGCTTTTTTTGAAGATGCCAAACTTGGCCTAAATCAATTCAGGCAAGCTCCAAATTTTATTCAGCTATTAATGCTGGTGAACTGTTAAGAATCTCCTCTTATAAGTATGTTATTCATGTCATTTTCATATCTTAGAACACCAGGACCAGGTCATACAGCCTCTCTGTGGACATATACTGAACTCAAAATTTGTAGAATTTATAAAATTTCAATAACAAAAATAACACAGAAGTATAGATAGGACAAACATTCAAGTTCCCAGAATTAACTGCCTTTATTTAATCATAACTGTCATGCAGAGGTGTCATTCCAACTTGCTTTCATAATTATCATAGATCATGTAGGAAGTCAGACAAGAATAAGCAACAGCCACACGTCAATTTGAACACATTCTAAGGCCAAGTTTGGCATGATTGAAAAAAGACAAAAAGTCAAAAAGTCACTATCCTATTTAAGTCATATCATTTTACATCACCTCTTTAACACATCACTTCAAACCCAACCCAAACCCAACTCATATTTCATAAAAATTCAAAAAGTGCACTTATTTAGTCTTCCCAAACTAGGCCTAATTCACCTCAACCCCAATTTCCTTCATTTCTTGAATGCTCTCGATTGCCGATGGGGCGACCTTGGACAATTGTGACAGGTTCTTCAATATTATACAGATTTTATATAGTCAAGCACATAGAGAGGTCTATGATCATGTGAATCGGAGCTTAGCTAGACATGACAAAGTAGATGAGTTTCATTGGAGGAAACTGATTTAATTTTGTGCATCTATGTCTAGTTATCTATTCTTATCATGGGTAGAGTTTTCATAGCTCTACACACTTGAGGCAACAATATGCCCCCTGACTTCTTTTCATCATGGTGATGTAGGTGTGTAGCACTGTAGTTGATTGCTGGATAATGCAGTAGATTGGTGGAGCGGTTGGTTCTTCCAGCACTAAAAGATGTTCAATTGTCAGTCCACCATTTTCCCAGTGCAGATCAGACCAGCATCTTTTGTTGGGCTGAGAAAAAGAAATTATGGCATCTATAATGCCACTCTAATTCTTCAAGGCAATGCCAGGTTTACCAATGGAAATGCAAAGAGTGCTCTGATTTTGTACGGTTGGTTAGGGGGAATCCCAATCCAGCTTTACACCTGGGTTGCAAGGTTGAGACTCTTCCTACCACTTGGACGAGTCTTTCTATGGTGGATCCTTTACTACGCCAAGTCAATGTGGGACTCAGTTGTAAAGAGGTTTAAGAATAAATTTTCAGGTTGGAAGTGGTGGTATTATATATAACTTCAATAAGTATTTATCTATACTGATTGACCTACCTATTCATGTCTATTTTACCTATTCCAACCCCTCACCAAGTGAATAGGGCTGCAACTCGGGCAGGTCAAGGGTCAACCTAGGCTCAACCCAAGCTATAGAACCCTCTGCCCAAGCATAACCCAACTGTTTGAGCTTGAGGTTTTCTTGCCCAAGTTCAACCTTCAAAGCTTGGATTACCCAAGTTCTATAAACTCAGCCAGGTTTTGGACTGTGCACCACTTGGTTTAATCCCAACTGAGAAAATCAGCTAAGTTTTTCTTTTAGGGTTTTAAAAGAAGGACAATTCAGATCTGGTTATGACTTCCAATAACTCTGAAGGGTGCAGGAAATTAGAGAGAATAAGAAAAAGACTCTAGGAATTACTTCTAGAGCTAGGCATCAAATAGGATTTAGGAATGCACCACACAATCCAAAAAAACTCCAAAATTCTCTAATACGTGTTTTCTATTCAATTATAAGCATTACATGGTGTTAAAATCCACCTCACCTCACCTACTTCACCCACTTACTATGACTTGAAAATTCAAAAACCAAATTTTTTTCACTTCTAAAAACTTTCTGAAAAATATTTTTTAAATCACCACTAGTCCCAAAAGCTTAAGCGGTTAGAAATGAGCCCAATAATGTATATCAAGCTATCTAACCAACAAACACACCTATACAAAAGCTTTAGGAAGGCATCCAACTCCTCAACCTTCCAATCCTATAAAGCTTGCCTAAAAGACACATTCCACGACACCAAACTTCTCACAGAATGAAGGTAACATAGCATCCCTATCCACAATAATCCCACAAAGAGACAGGAAAAACCTAGCAAAACTTACATCAATCAGGTATATGAGCTAGACTTCCTCAGAAATAGGAGCTAACCAACTAATCGAAGAATAACCCAAAAAAACTTATTCATGTCACAACCTGCATTTGAAAAGAACAACAGACATGATTTTTTTTTTTCTTCTTTTTTGGCATAGAATTTTTCTATGCCTAAAACCCTACACATAGAAAGCTCAAATCATTGGCCTTTCCATACACATGTGATAAGTGCAAAACCACTGAATATAAGAATTTCTCAGAGCTTGTCGATAACGAAGGAAAAAGTAGCTTTTTAGGAATAGTGATCATTTAAGAGCAATAAATCAAATCTCAACCAAGAAAAGAAGATCGAAACAACAGAGTTCTACTGATGACACTACCAGAGTTGCCATAAAAAGGAAAGCCAATGAGACAAGAAATTTATCACAAAAATACCTCTCTTAAAATTAAGATGAAATCCAATGCACTAAGAACTCCAACAAACTGACCCTTGCAAAAATCCCAGAGAGGAGCCACAGGAATTCCCTGAAAATAATTTAATTAGATAAGCCGAAATCCAGGCTATTAATCATAAATACCAGCAATTTGCAATTAAGAAAACGAGATAAAGTGCACATGAACAAATTAAATCCCACAAACTGTTAACGAAGGGTGTTGAAACTGCTATATTGCTGGCATGGCATCTGAAGGGAAGACACGAGTTCAAGGTTTTGGTGCTTATCATCTCTCTGAAGATGAATGGACTGTATGTTAAGCCAAGTAAACTACATGTCATGAAATAATGAAACTAGAAGTGATCCAGTCATCAACATATGAAAATTCTACACAAATATATCTATTTTCTATCAACAGTTGTTCTACTTTCACAGAACCAGACACAACCCTCTCACATGGGTGTAGGACCCACAAAAAGGTGAGACCCACCTCATATGCCATATAAGAGGGTTGTTTCCAATTCTATGATCAGTTTCTGTGTTCCTAGACTTTCTTAAACAGTCACACATAGGACTTACATTTCTCTTGGAACACTTCTGAGAAATCTTAGCTGACAAAAGCGAAGTCATTACACAAAGAAGGATGAGATTCTACTGGAACCTGAAACTGTGAGCAAGTGCATAAAATTACCTGCTCATACAGAATATGGAATGCTTGCTTCACTGGTAAATTCACGTCCAAGGCAATGACCTACAATTTTCAATACAATTCAGCCAAAAAGCTATAAATCCAATCTAACCATGGTGATAAAAACACTTAAAAGATGGAATCATAAGCAACCAAGCAAGTATCCTAACCTTGCCAGATTCAGGAAGCAACTCGTATGCAGTATGTGTTGACAAGAACACAGATATACGTTGGCGAGAAATATCTATATCAGCCTCTGATATCCTTGGAACTGCTTCCTGCAAGTTACCATTTGACTATATTACCTACAATTTTACGGCATTATAGAACAACAATGTGTTTAAATGCCCTGCCAGTGCACTGTTACTGCTCTTGGAGAAACCACTAGTGATTACTAGTGATTAACGCGCACATATTGATATCACATGTTTCTAAACTAAAGCATTAAGGGGAAAGAAAAAAAATAAAAATAAAAAATTTCCATGAAGATTGGAAGACTACCAAGTTCCACAAAACTTGAGCAGCTATATAAAAATAGAAAATGTTTCATCATTTCAGCTATGTTACATGAACATGGGTGCGAGTATGTGTCTAAATGTCTATTTTATCTAATCCCATGTTCAAGGAGGCAGAGAGACAGCAAAATATTCATTTTTTAATATACTTCTTTTATTTTCTAGGGTAAAATGGGGTTCGTAAGGTGCCATAGAACATACATTTCATGCATAATATGGGGTTTTTATGTGTAGTGTTAGACACATATCTCATACCCTTACCCGAGTGCGAATGTTAGACACAGTTACTTCATAAATTTAGAAGAGTCTATGTAACATAGCATTTCAGCATAACTTGAGATGCAATAAATGAAGTTGCAGAGGCCAGATTGTCTCAGCAAACATGGTCTTGCACGTCTATGCAACACATGTAACTGAATGGATGAGAAATAGCTGTACGATACTTCAACATGTTGCTGTTATGTATATAGATAGCTGTAAGTATAAAATTGGATTCTTACCAAATGAAAAAATGGATCATTATCCACATCCATACTAGATCTACCAGGTGCCTCTGGAGTATAAATTGCAGGAATCACATCAGGCTCCCTAGCTAAGAAGACAGTGTTCACCACCCCATAATTTCCACTTACAAATGGTTGGTGCTCATCATGCCGCCATTCTCCATCAACAAAAAACTTGTACTGCACGGAAATGAAAACAACATATCTAAACATCAGATACTAGAGATAGAAGTACACTTTTAGGATTGTTGATGTAGATGAACTCATCTCTTCGACTAAACACTGAATTTCTTGATCAATTTGTTAATCTTGCACAATATTTCTGTGAATATCATGTCCATTATATACAATTTTGAAAGAATTAAAGTGTATAAAATGCATGCACCATTGTGCAACTATGGGATGCATGTTTACTTTCTTCAACCTGTATAATCTTTCATATAACACAACAATATGGTGTCTCATTGAGATTTATATATATAAGAAAACAATAGCAGTTGCTAAGTAAATTTGACATGGAAAATGATCAGAGATTAAAGGTTCTGTATTTGGAGAATAGCTAATAATCTCTATTAATCAATAATTTAGGAGAAACCAAATAATTATGATAATCATAATTCATAATTTTTTAAAGAGGATTTTTACTGGATTTTTAACTTCTTCTTTTTTCCTTCATATTCTCAAGGATGGAATCTCAATAATTTGGCAGGCAGATTTCAGGAGAATTTATTGCTTGCATTCTTAACTATTATATTAACTTGCTTAATGTTCCTGATCAATTGATATGGATCCCCTGCTCTATCAATGTTTCACCACTAAATCAGCAAGGAACTCAATGTGTAACAAGCTCCTATGCAACAACTTCGGAAAGCTTGGGTGCTTACTTCCCATTGTTTGCTTTAGTTGGTTTGGTTCAAACGGAATAGGAGAGTGTTTCGGGAGGAGTGCCTTTCTGTTGCATGGTTAGAGAGTAGACTGGTGATGGTGTTACATAGTGGGGTTACGGGTCCAGTCGACCCAAATGTTTTGGTTTTTGTTGATTTTGTGGAGGATTTGATTAGTTAGTTTGTTTAGTCTTTTATTTAGTTTTTTAGGCTTTCTTGTATTCTTTGTATCGTCTTGATGCTTCTTAATAAAGTTTTGGCTTATTTATCAAAAAAAAAGATTCACTCTCCTAAAATATCCATCCCCATATAGTAATTTTTAAAGGGTACATTCCAGTGAACAATTTGTTTTGGATAAGTGGTATTTCTTTGGCCTCTCATTGTTGCTTCTACGAGCAGAAAAATGTGGAATATATCAACAGATTGCAGAAAAATGTGGAATATATCGACAGATTAGTTGGCCAAGTACCTTCTAGAACAGGACTTCTTTTAGCAATATATTTGGCATTCATTTAGGCCACGTGGTAGTAGCATTGACACAATTTATTATTTACAACAGGACTAGCAGTTTTCCCCTATCAATTCAAAACTATGAAAAGAGTTTGCCTTTCCTATCCCTTTTTTTCAGTTCAGAAGGATAAATAATGAAACAATGCAAAGTTTACAGATTATCTTATCCTCAGCAGGTTATTGCTTTGGTAATAAAGTCTTATCAAACTTTGCTTTACTGTGCTCTCCATGATGGATAGCTTCAGCCACCATGAGACATTGATGTCTCAAACTCTGGATACATAACAGTAAAGCCTCTTCCCTAAAGCAACATTAGTGTCTTCGCTTCCCTACCAAACTTCATTAGACTGCAAACAAAATGGCAGGAGGTGTTGAAGGCATGGTTATCAAAATTGCAATATGGATTGTAGGATCAATCCTAAATTACTAAAACAATCCAAATCGTTGTAGGATAGGTATTATAGCAGGATCACAAGTATGATCGTGTAGAATTGTATGTGACCGAGTAGGATTGTAAGCATGATTGTTGGATTTGTGATTTTTCATCTTATTTTTAATATGTATCATCTTGATTTGTATTTTTACCTTATTTTTAATAGAAAATAGAATCTTATGATCCTCAATTCAATCCACAAAACCCTCTCACCGATCCTATGTAGAATCCCGATTTTAACAACTTTGGTTGGAGGAAGGGTAGAATTCTTCAATTTAGATGGGCTTACAGCATGAAATCAGGCTTGATTACTGGATTATTATTGTCAAATCAAATTCTAAGGCTATAATGGATTTGCTTACCAAGAAGGTCAAGCCTCTTTGTTGCATTCTACATCTCTTTAGAAAGAATTATATTTCCTTGCTAGTCGCTAATATGATGTAGTGAGACCCTTTATGCTATTATGTGATACACAAGGGTTGACTTGATTATATTCCCATCATAACGAAATTCACAATGGCATAGGCCCAACAATATTCGATATTTGAGATTTTATAATTGGACAACCTTTCTCGCTCCGCTTAGCCTAGTTTAGCGATTGGTTCTATAGGAATTGGATGATCTTTTTTGGTCAAATACTTGGCGTATTTATTCTTTTGATCAATTCAACCTCCAATCAAAAAGATATACCTTGGTTATTTTTGATCTCTTCATCATGCATTGCATTGAACCGAGAGCCATTGAATACACTAGCTACACCTAAGATATAAAATAGATGCATAAGGATGTTGTGCTCAGCCTGGTGGATCTTTTTTTCTTTTTTTTCTTAATTTTTTTTTATGAGTAATGTTCATCAGAAGATGCTAGGTGGCGTGGCCCAAGTACACTAGAACTATGTTACATGGAACGCGGATCGTTTCCGTATGAGGAAAGAGAATGAGAATGGGAACATGATACCCTAGCTCTAAAATGTGGTACAATAGAGGTAGGCTTTGTATATATCATATATACATTGATGTTTTTTATATTTAGTGCCCTAAATTTATATTTATAAACATAGAAAAAGAAATTAAAAAAAAAGGAATTGTCATATCCTTGCTATGTTCGTATCCTAATTTTTTTTAAAACCATTATCCCATGTTCATACTCATGTCCGTGCTCATGTTTGTGTTCATATCTATGCCCATATCCGTGTCCGTGCTTCTTATGTTATCTAGTTTAACAGTTTTCTTCACTGTTAATAGCCATGGGATCAACATATTATAGACCTTGGATTTGGGTTTAAACTTGAGATTTGAGCCAACAACTTGTTTGAACCATGACCATAAACCATATAACAAGTATACTTTAGACTACTCATATCCAAACAAGTCATAAAGAATGTCTTTGGTTGCAAATTGATAACAAGATGGGCTTTAGCACAAGGCTAGTCAAGGTTGACTGGAAAAAGAAAATGATAATAAAAATGAAATGTCATATATATATATATATATTAATTTAATTTATTTCATGTTTCTTCCTAATTTTTACAACAAACCTGATTGATGAACTATCAACCTTGTACATAATCATGATCTTATTAGCCCCAACTCTACGCTTATAATAAGATAAATTTAGTGCTCCTCTATGCTTACAGGTTCTAGCTGCAGTTAGCACACAACAAATATAATTATAACTCCGATCATATAGCATATTAACCTCGTGATATCCCGGTGTTAAGCTGCAGATAACCTGAAACACAGTCGGGCAGCCCTCCATTGGAGACAATAGTATATGGTTTGACCACCTGCGCATTTAAGAAATCCAATTAACAAACATATCTACAAACTAAAAAGATCTTAACATGACAAAAGTAGTAGTATTAACATCAAATCACAAAAGTCACTCACCTGGTGAAGGAACCACTAAGAAGTACCCTTCTGCCGCCATAACGCCACACAAATCGTGTGGGTATCAACAGAGGACTGGACAACCCACTATTATCATGCCCAGTATCCACACCAGAACCAAACATCTTCCCCTCCTCCCGCCCCAACCCAATCTAACCCACTCAAAAACAAAAACAAAAAACAAAAACAAAAACTGATTTCAAATCCTCAAAACCAATTGGCTAAAAGCAAATTAAGCACACTTGTCTCACTTATCAGCTAAGAAAAAACACTGAAAAACCCAATGAAACATCTCTTCTACTTCACCTACATAAATTAACCAGTAAACAAGGAAGCATTTTGAACACAATTGTAAGACGAGGATTTTGGGATCCTCCACGAAACAGCAGAGGACCCCTTAAGAATTAGACATGCAGAGCCAGCAGATCAAAGCACACACCAAAATCCCAAAATTCAACAAATCAACTTCTTAACCCCCCACAAGCCACAATTTCCAATAAATACACGACTATTAGCCCAAACCTTAGAAAATCGACGAGCACTCAAAATTTAACCAAATAAATACACGACTATTATCAAAAGCTTGCAAACTCGAGCTTTGATCCAAAAACCCTAAATTCCGAGCCTTTACGTAAAAATAAAGATGGAATTGGATCAATTTCAAGGAAATTCAGAAGAAACATATGGCTCAAAGGGTGCCCTAGAGAGATGACAGAAAACTTGTGGAGAAAACTGAGAAAATGTCGACATTGTTGGATCTTCCAACTCCTGCAATCTCGCCAGTGAAGAGAATCAGATGAAGAGAGAGAAGATGCAGAAGCCAAGGGGAGTGAATAATAATTATTAATAATTGGACTAGAAAAATGAGAAATTCTAGCATACATTCCTCAAATGTGTGTATTATGGTGTGTTTGTTTGGGCGTGCAAAATAAGAGAGATTGAAATTTATCGGATTATAATTTTGAGATTCATAATTGTGAGATTATTTAGTTAGATATGATATCTATATCTATTTAGTTATATAATTAGATGTCAGTTGGATAGGATATTAATTCTATGTTTGTTTAGGATATTATGAAAAAGAATAAATACTCAATTGATTATTTTATTTTTTTCAATTATTTACTAAATAATAGAAATATTATATCTTTAATATTTTATTATTTTTAACTAGATTAAATAAAAAATTATTTTATTTTTTACACAATTAAACAAATTTATTTTTTTAAAATTAAATAAATTAAAATATCAATAAAAATATATGTTATTTTTAATTAAAATTTTAAATAAATTTATTTTAAAAAATAATAATAATTAAATAATAAAATCAAATAAAACATCTATTAAAATTTAAATAATGAAATTAAATAAAAATATAAACAAAATTTTAAAATAAAATATCTATAAAAAATTATTTTAAAAAATTAAATAAATAAAACATCAATAAAAAGTTAAATAAAATTATTTTATTTTTAAATTGAGACATTTAAATTTTATTAAATTTTACTAAATATAATACATAATTAAATAGTAGAGGGTTAAAATGATCATTTCACCATCTAATCCCTTATCCCCCATTTCTGTCACCACAATAGTCTAACACATTTGAAACTAATAGTCTGGATTTGAAAAACCAAACAACGGATATAAATCTTATCTCACCCGCTAATCCTATATCACCATCGAATCTCTCCAAAAACACAACACTTATATACACCCAGTTGCAACTTTTGTGATATTTGATTATGTTATGTGGTGTTGGTTAAATATTTGAAAAATTCTAGATTTGCATAAATTTATACATATTAAAAAAATAAGAAAATTTTAAACATACATAAAAACTTATATAAAAAAAATTGACAAAAATGATGTGGTAATATTATTATTATAAATAAATTCATCTTCAATAGTATTTAAAGTGAAAAGTTCACAATGAGTTACATTATTATGTGGGTGTTTGGGAGTTACTATTTTAGCAGGTTATTTTAGTTTTTTGTCATTTTAGAATACTAAAATTTTTATATTTGAGACGATAGATTTTTTTGTGGTTGGATGTGATATTTGTGAGAGAAAAAGTAAAATGATTATGAATTTGATGTAACATTTTGTTTTATTAACTATTTTAGCCTATGTTGTCTTTTTGTGAATTTTAGCCAAAAAATGGCTAAAATCCAACTTGCCAAACACTCCCATATATGAAAATTATATATGAATTTTTTTGATTGTATAGCATTATTCTAAATATTATGATATTAGTTATAATTTAGTTATAATAAAAATATTTAGTTATATTTTATGTGATCTTTAGTTATGATTCTAAAATAATTTAGTTATGGTATTTGTAATAATTAGTTTTACAAGTGTCATAACTTACATATAATATACATTTACCATAACATAACTCGAAAAAAAAAATTGAGTTATTATAACCAGAATAATATTATAATGAATATCACAATTAGTCATAATTAATATCATAAATGTGTATAATAAGTTATAACTATCTGTACAATAAGTCATAACCAAATGGGAAAGTGCACCCCTACACCATATGTAACCTACCACAAAATAACATAATTTTATCATAAAATTTTGTAACATTAATCACAAAATGCGTAATTTCGTTACAAATTAACTTAACAAAATATCTAAAATTTTGTAATTTATGTTACAAAAGTTTGTGACTTAGTTAAGACATTTTTTATTATGCTAGTTTATGACGAGATTACATATTTTATGATTGATATTATTAAAATTTTTAATAAACTTACGTCAATTGATAATAATAGCATATAATATGCACTCTTTAAAAGATGCACACTATAAGGCTTTTCTAACCAAATATCACAAAGCACGGCTTCTTAGGAGTGTGTTAATATTAATGTTTGAGACCCATACATTATCTTTAGAGTAATATTTGAAAGTTTAAAAATTTTACTAAAATTTCTATCAAATATCTTATATGAATGTAAAATTCACACCATTTGAGTCTATACCCATGTGAGAGAATTTTTAAAATTTCTAATATTTTTGTTATATTTATAAATTCATCTAAAATTATGTGACATGGGAGTTAGACCTATTATCATTAAATACATAATAAATCAAAAGTTGACATATATTCTGTCACATCATTGGTGGGTAGAATGAGTAAATTTTTATGTAAATATTATATATATCATGTGATACTTTTTACTAATTAGATTTGATAGTAAAATTTATTATAATTATATTAAGTGTTCAAAAAATAATAAAAGATATATATATATATATATATTTATGAGTAATGAAAAATTTGTGAAATCTTTTTCCTTTTTTAGAGTGTCAAACATTTTTCATAATTTCCCCATATATTCTGTTTTGCTTTTTCTAGGGAGAGAGAGAAAATTACATCAACGAACGGTTGTGAAGGGGTATGGTCGTGGGCCCGTTGGATGATTGAGACAGCTGGGCCCATGCTTAGTGTATCGTTCGAGAAATTATTTGATGGTTTTGAAGAGTGGTACTGCAGAATTGTAATTGGTTGAATGAATAGCGTCAACAATTTGGTATTGAGAGGGAAGCGAATTGTAGGAGGTATGGTATGACATTTAGCCCATCTAAAAAAGAAAATTAATAAATTATAAATATATCTCTGGAAGTTTGCTTAAAGTATATATTATTTTTTGTAATTTAAAAAATTATAAATATTTCTTTATAAAAAAATTTATTTAACATAATTAATTAAAAAAAAAAATTCATAATTACTTTCCTATATAATAATAAAATTACATAAATTATTAATTGAAACATATTTATAATATCGTTAAAAACTATTAATTAACTTGATAATTTATTAATAAAAGGAACGATTTGTTATGAAATTAGAAATCTCATGGGGTGAAATGTAGTTTTCAAAATCACATGAGACGATTTGTATTTTAATCAAATTTCAAGAAATGTATTTGTAATTTACCCAAAGAAAAAGGTATGGCATTTAGGTTTGTTTGGGTGGAGTTGACCGGAAGAATTGTAATGTAATAGATTGATAGTCTTATAATTTATAATTTCTGAATTATTTTGTTAGAAATGATTTGTATCTTATGTTTATTTTTTTCATGGGATTAAATATATGTAAATAACTATTTTAGTGAATGTCATGTTTAATTTGAAAATTATGAAATATATTATTTAAATTGTTTACAATGATAATACTTAAATTTGAAGTATTATTATTTTATTTTATTTAAAGTATATTTTATTTAATTTTATTTGAAATTTATTTTATTTTATTTTACAAAAACACTTTTAATTTTATTTTCATACGACATTAGAAATATATTTGCATTTATGATTTTTCTAACACAAAAAAAAGAAAGAAAACAAGAAAAAGAGAAGACTATTATATATCATGAGATTAATTTGCATAGGTTTAAAATAATTCAACATGTTTAAAAAAAATAACAAAATGAAAGAAATAAATTTATTCATTTAACTAGCTAATTCGGAGATTGATTCAGTCCGCCTATTTCTATCTCACACTCCCATGGGATTGAGTTATCGTACATATGAGGGGTTATTAGTTTGGACTAATAATCCAGCTTTCATTTTTTCAATCAAACATTAGATTATCTACTTTGTTGGATATGGAGTCCTATCTCATGCCCTAATTCCGCCAAACAAACATCCCCTTGATGATTAGTGAGAGTATTGTCGGGAAACCATCTAATAATTTTTCATTTTTTTAGTACAAATATGTCTATATATATTTATTTTTAACTTCAAAATTGTATGTTATTTTGTTCGTGAATTAAATTAGGAAAAATTTCATTCATATAAAAAAGGGAGATTTATTAGAAAATCAATTTTCAAATGTTTGTATTCCAATTAATCCATAAGATATTATTGTATTCCAATAAATTATATTATTTTCAACATTTAATCTACTAAATCTTAATTTTTATATTTAAAGTAATTTATAAATATTTTTTAAACTCTTAGCACCTTGGTGTGCACTATTTTGAATGTTTCATGATGTGAATATTTACATGTTCACATCATGAAACATTCACACTGTCAATGTAAATATTAATGTGCGATTAGGGATATTTTGGTAACTATATCACCCATAGGATTTATTGGAATATAAGAAAATATTTTGAATCAAGTAGAATATAAGGTGGTGTGTTAATAAAGCCAAAAACTAAAAACTAAATACTAGAATTAAGTATCAAAAATCGAATATTGAATTTTTTAAGCTAAAATATTGTTTGATAAACATATAAGTTGTGAATTAAAATAAACTGTTTGATATGTATAAGATAAAATTTAAAATTATTACATTATATATTTTAATTTTTATATTGTGACAGTGATTGTAGTAGTGGTGATGATATAATGGTGGCGGCAATGGCAATGGCATCGATGGTAGTGATAGCAAAACGATGGTGGTGTTTATGGCAATAATAGCAATGGTGATGAAGGTGGTGGCAGTAGTGGTGGTGACAACGACATGATGGTGGCGGTAGTGGTGGTAGTAGTAGTGATAGTGATGGCGGTGATAGTAATAATGATGGTGGTAGTTGTAGTTGTGGTGGTGATAGCGGTAACAGTGGCGGTGGCATGGTGGTAGTGGTGGCGGTAGCATGATAGTGGTGGTTGTGATAATGGTGGTTGTGATAGTGAGTTTATAATAACGTATATCGATACTTATATTTTTGTATTTATAAATTCAATCAGAATTAAATAAATTTTATATGACTTAAATTTTTTTTAAGTTTTAACTTAGATTTTAAGAGACACTTAAATTTTTAAGTGATATTAATTATAATTATCAAATGGGTTTAATTAATTATCACTAAATTGATTTAGTTTGAAGTGTTGAATTATATTATCAAACAAGAATTTATAAATAAATGCTATT